TCACTTATATATACTTCTTGATCATAGTATTTTTCAATATCTGATATTTCACTTAATTCATCTTTTATTTCTAAATATTTTTTTATAATATTCTTACTTTCTTTTTATCACAATCAGGGCCTATATGACATATCTCTTCACAATTTCAACATTTACATTGACTTTTATTTTTTTTATAATTCTTATTTTTCTGTTGATTATATGAGCTATTTTTTCTTTTATAATACCTTCTTCTAGGTTTTATATATTTTTTATTAAAATTTCTAAAATTTTTAAACTTTTTATTTTTATATTTTCTTTTATTAATTCTTTTATCAGAATTACATCCCCATTGCACAAGGGTTTTCATATCTTCACAACATATTCTAGTTAATTTTTTTGATTTTTTCATTAATTGTCTTTGTTGACAAATATATGCAAGTCTTTTAAATAAAAATTTTATTCTTGAACCTAAAGTTCTAGGTATTCCAATATTATCTCTAACTTATTTTTTAAATTATATTTTAAAATATATTTCCCAAGAACTTGGTAATTTATTATAGTACATATCTTGGTATACTTCTTGATTTTCATTACTATAAGTTGAAAATAATAATAGTTTCTAAATTCACAAGTATATTCTTTAATTTTACATATATCACATATTGTTAAATTTATTAATTTAATCATAGCACTATCTTTTTCTCTTATTTCTTCTTTTCCAGCATTTTTTATCCAATTTTCTCCTAAAAATTTATCAGAAATATATTCCACTAATTTTTCTATACTTTGTCTATCTGATTTGATTATTTCTGTTTATACATTTCTTTTTATTAATGTTTTTGTATAATTACTTATTCCTTCCCACCAATATCTAACATCTCCTTCAAAGGATGCTATTAAGAAATATATTCTTCTTTCAATACTTTCCCATGTATCATCTTTATTATATAAAAAGAATAATATCATTGAATCTGCCCAAATTAATCAGACTTTTTTAGTATTTATTTTACAATTTAAGTCTAGTTTTGTTCCTCTATGATTAATTGGTTTATCATAATTATCATTTAATTCAAACCTATCTTTATATTTATTTCCTTTAGGTGGTTGTCTATCTCTTACTTTATCATAGAATTGTCTATATGGTTCATTATATATCGGTATATAACTTTCATCTGTATCATGTAATTTTTGTTTAGAGGTTCCTGCTGGATTAGGTCCTCCTCCAATATTCATTAAAACTTGATATTCACTTATATCAGTTAAGTTTAATTAATCAAAATTTTCTATTAATAAATCTAACTCTTCATTCATTTTTATCTTCTTTTTCTTCTATTTTTAATTTTCCTAATGATTTTTCTCTAAATTCTTCATCTTCTTCTTCTAATATCTTTGGTAATATATTTTTTTCTAAATTCATCGTCCATGCTTCATGTTTCCACTACTATATTTTCTTTTTCTATATATTTCTTTCCTATTCGAGTCATTTCTTTTTTTATAAGTTTTTTTTTTTATCTATTTTCTTATCTTTATTCTTATTATTTTCTTTTAATTCTCTAATCTCAATTTTTAATATATTTATATCATTTCTTGTTTCTTTTATTTCATTTCTCAAATCTTGTACATCATTTATTAACATTTTTATTAATGATTTTAATTCTTTCATATACTTACTTATTGACATCTTAATTTTTTTTTATTTCTAACTCATAAGTTAATTTGCATCTTTTATCTTCTTTTTTATCTATTATCTTTCTAAATCTTCTTTCAGCTGTTTCTGGATCTACTAATTCTTCTTTTACTATAGTGAAATATTTGCTCTCAAGTCTTAGCTTTCACATTTTAATTTTGTTAATTGTCTATTCTTTGATATTCTCATTCCTTCTGGTACTAACATTATATTTCTTATTTCTTCTTGTATTTTGTCTATTTTTAAAAGTAATTTATTCAATTTTTGATGTGTAGTATCAATTATACTCAGATTTTTCTTTATAATACAAATTATTTTCTTCATCTTCATATATATTAATAATTTTTTCATATGTATAAATATCTTTTATTTTTTCTATTATTAAATTTTCTAATATTTGTTTCTTTATTTCTTTAGGAAGTTCTTTAATTATTGTCAAAGTCATTATTTTTAATTTATTATGAATAGGTTTTAAAAATATATAACTGTCTTTTTCTTCTTCTAAACACCAATAATTATCTATTTTTCTTATTTTAATTTTCATGATCTCTATGGCTCTGATACCAATAAATGAGGTGCTACTTAGAGCGAACAAAAATCAAATAAATCAAATAAATTGGTAATCTATTAAAATTCATGCAGTATTTGATTTTCTAAGGACTAAATTGAAAGATTTCTATATTTCATCAACTTATTATGTAATATTATAAAGAGGTATTTTGGGTATCAAAATTAGCCAAAGGCTATTTTGGAAAAATGGCCTTTCTATTTGGGTTATTTCCATGTATTTCCCGCATAAATTGGGCTAAATACTGTAGGGCTTTACTTCTTGGTGGGGTAGGGAGTTAACATTAAAAAAGGTAAAAATACACAAATACTAAACTATAGGGCTGTCAATGGATTGAATTTTGATCTGAATCCAATGAAATTAATGGGAGATGAATTTAGGGTCTCATTCCAATAATTTGATTAAGATCCGAATCCGATAATTCGTTAATTAAATGGAGCAAATATGAATATAGGTCGATCCGATCCGATTTATTATAATAATATAATATAATATATTATATCATAATCTAGTAAACATAATTTTTTCCATTTTGAAATTTATATTATGCTTTACACATAATTTTCAAATAATAAATAATATTAGATAATAGTATAATATTGTTAACTGAAATATTCGAAGAGATTTAATTTTTTTATTAATTAAAATAAGATAAAAATAACTGTAATGTTTTGTTTTATAATATCAAAAACTAATAATTAATATGTCCAAAAATAATTTACATTGTTTAAATTGATATTATTTGTGATTATAATCTTATTGAAATTATGAATTTTAATGGAAATAATAAAATAAATTAGTAACACTTAGAATTGACAATTGACTAATATCCCACATTGAAATATCACTAAAATATTGAAATAAGTGTATTATTTAAAAAGTTAGTATCCCACATTAAAAGACTACTAAAACATTTCAATAGGAGTCTCCTTTAAAAAGAAACTAAAGGAGCATCACTTGGATAAAAAATTGATTGGGCCTTTTAATATAATAGGTGAGCCCATCAACATAGTTAAAACATTTTTTGGGAAAAAATAATCATAGGTGGGCCTTTTAATATGATTGGGCCTTTTTTTTTTTTCAAATTCGGATTGAATTATCGGATCGGATATCCGATAACATAACAAATCAGATACGGATTTAATAATCAAATATCTGTTGGATTATCGGATCGGATCGGATAATTTTTCTTAACGGATCGGATCTGAGCAAATTCGTTCCATATTCGATCCATTTACAGGCCTACTAGACTACAAGAATAGTATTTCATAACTAATAATCTTTAAAAGTACTTTCAAAATTCAGGTGATATATCATATATAAATATAATATTGTATTATATATAATATAAAAATAATATAACGTAAATTAGGATAAATTATACTCTAAACAAATGCTAAAAATTAGGACTTATTCTATATGTAAGAGATTTTTACTAATCTCCATTTAGAACCATCATATTTCTCTCTCTAATGTCTCGATTCCCAATCTCTCTTCTAAATCACCATAATTTCTCCACTAAATTGCCGATTGACGACAAAATTAACCAAGTTGAATTTTGAATTTCATTCATTGGACAATGATTAATATTCTAGCTTTTGATTCATTTTTATTCTAAATTACTGGGCAGAACCAGATGAAAGTCCTATCAGCCAGCAAGTTCTAGCGCGCCTTCATGAATGAAGAGGCATGTTGTGCTAGCTTGTTTCTTTCGATTTGTGCAAACACCAAGATGGAAGTATTGAGAGTTGTTGCAGGGGAGTTGTATTAACAAAATACTGAACTAAGTTTTGTATATTGTCACATTGATATGAAATTTAGATTTCATTTTGCGATGTATGAATTTACGAGTTGTGAATAGGCTTATTGAATGTGACCTATTGAATTTGTTATTCGTATTGTATGTGACTAGGTTTAGGTTATCGGTGCATATTGTGACAAGTTTGTTTGAGCTGTTATTTTATATGACCAAGACTGTGTAAGAAAATATTGATTGTGACCTGGTTTGTGATGAATGTTACTATATGTGACCATGAATTTCTTAACTATAACTATATGTAACCGGGTCTATTATAACATTTTGTGATTAGGTATGTGTGATTTGTTATTATTTGTGACCAAATATCTCTAAGATGATATTTTTTATGACCATATTTGTGTTCAATGTGACTGTAAATGAATGTCTGTTTGAACACTGATTGTAGATGACCAATTAATGTTTCTTAATTGTGTCTATATGCAAAATGGTCTAATAGTGATTGATGTAAATATGTGAACTTCTCTGTTCGTCATCGGTTATGTGTTCATTGTGACCTATTATATGTTAAGTCTATCTATGACCAAATATGTATTAGTTGTGATTGATTGTGACCATATCTATGTTTACTGTGAATGTTGTCTAATGTCTTGTTAACCATTTGTCAGTTGTGACCTGTCACTGTCTGATTGTCACACGTAACACATACATTATTAACTTTTTCTTCCATACAAAATATTACTTCGATGATATAGCAAACACCATACATGGTTTCTCATTTAGCCCTTGTTTGATTCCCATTAAATTATATTTCTTTACATTCTATTTTTCTCTCTCCTATTTTCAACCACGCAATCTTTCATAAAATAATATTACACGTAAATCGAAAAATTTTCTTTCTTTTTCAACCACTTATTTTTTCAACAAAACACTATTCCCCCCATTTTCATTACCAAACAGGGGCTTAAAGTACACAAGAATAATAGTCACTTAGAATTTTAAGAAGGTGAAAAATAATCATTCATACATACAAACAAATTGAATTCATATAAAGACAACATCTACCTAAAACATCATGAATGAAAAATAATTTTCAAAGTAATTCTATTAACAATCATTCAATCATCTGTCTTTAATTTCCCCTCTCATTTTAGATGGTTGTTCAATCATCTATTCCAACATATCATAGCCCAGTCACAAAACAAAATTCGGTAATTGAAAATTGAATATATCTGCCATTGATGTTGAATCAATCTCTTCCTTGTTTGGTTGCTTAACCTTCCATAGCCACTTATAATGAATAAGTTAGAGTTTGGACAAAGATCTCTCTCAATGCATGTGGTAAGTGTAACAAGTGTCTTCAGGGATCTCATTTGGTGAAGCCTTAAATTTCATCATGAAGTCCGTGATGGCACTTTGTGATCTTGTCAAGAAACCATTTGCTTTCTTTTATCAAAATATTTCCAGTCCTGCACAAAATAGAAAGTCAGACATGTGACCATGACCTAAAACACAACCATAAACATGCGACTGTGACCAACAAATATGCTAATTGTGACGTGTTCTTTTGTGACCGTGACTATTCTACAAAATAACTCATTAACTATTCATGTTTTAAACTTGTGATCTTTTAGAAATCAAGCAATAATACAACATCATGTCACACTTATCATGTTGAGGTCACATATCATCTAAATCAAGTCACATTTTATTTAAAGAACTCAAAAATTATCAAAATAAGGTCACAAAACCTAATTTACATAACAGACAACGTACCAATAATAGACAACATACCAACACTTGTATTTTAGTAAAAAAAAATAAATCGTGAAATAATATAGAAAAATATATTCCCTTTTATCAAGATGAGAAAATAGGTCACAAATTATCCAAAATCAGTTCACAAAACCTTACTCAGCTGGTACCCAAAATAGGCCCGAGAACAATATTCAGGTCACAATATATCCAAAACAAGTCACAAAGTACCACTCGAGACAGAAAATACTTATCATAATCAACATACACACACTACAACTCTTACTGGAAAGCAATTTCCAAAAAATTAAAAATAAAAATAAAAATTTGATGTCCATATTGTATGGAAGCAATAACATATATAAAAGCTTCAATTAACGTAAACTCATTAGAAATTTAATTGACGAAAGATTTCAGTCCCAGTCCACTACCCAAAAAAATTATGAATCAACAAAAATTTGAATACAAAATGCAGTAACTTTACCTGATTAATTGTACAACTCATAAATTGTGGATTACAATTCCCAGTGTCTTTGACAATATAATCACTTGTTGCGGGCTTCACATGGGAGAAAAATAGCAAGTAAAATAAAAAACCAGAAAAATGAACAACTGTTTGAGACTATCTTAAGCCTTTGACATGATTATAGACTCATTTTCTGGAACTAAATAATTTGCGCTACTTCGCTTTGTATAACGAAAGTAAAAAAATCTGACCAAACATGTTATTTTAATACAACATCAACATTGCAAGTGAAGCTATATTTTTCAGGAAATGGGGAGACAAATTATCGGAGAGGTTGCCTGATAGCCTTGACGGGTCTCATGTAGAATCACAACAGAACTTGGGATAGGGCGAGGAATGTGATTGAGATCAACATTTGATTGTGCTTGCAGCCCCAGTAAGACCCATAGCAGGAATGTGATTGAGATCAACCTTTCACTAGATTCTAGCACCGTTTGATGAAGGAAGCAATGTACACCCGGCACGAGCTGCTCGTCACGCACTTCGATTACTGTAGCTCACTTCACATAACTGGTTCCGTCTGTTAAGGGATAAAAATTTCACATCGGTTAAATACAGAAATATTGACCAACTTAAAAGATTTTGGACTACTCATCTTAACAAGGTTGACCTTATTAAAATAGGCCACAAATTTTAATATGATATCAGAGCCCGGTAAGCTCCAACGAGCTATTCTATCTGATTAAGCCTAAAAAATGAGCACACAGATTTCAAGATTGATTTGCTAAAAAAAAGTCACCATCTTGAGGAGGCATGTGAAGGGAATAAATCTCATATCGATTAAATACCGAAATACTTAAATAGATCTTGGGCCACTTCTCTTAACAATGTTGACCTTATTAAGATGAACCCCAAATCTTAATCTGATATCAGAGCCCAGTAAGCTTCAATGAGCTATTCGATCCGGTTAAATCTAAAAAATGAGCACACGGATTTTAAGATTAGTCTACTCAAAAAGAGCCGCCATCTTGTGGGGGTATGTTAAGAGAATAAATTCCACATCGGTTAAATACCGAAATATTGACCAATTTAAATAGATTTTCGGCCACTTCTCTTAACAAAGTTGACCTTATTAAGATGAATCTCAAATCTTAACATGGTATCAGAGCCCATTAAACTCCAATGAGCAATTCGATCCGATTAAGACTCTAAAAATGAGTACATGGACTGCAAGATTGGTTTGCTCAAACAAGCCACTATCTTGCGAGACATGTTAAGGGATAAAAATTTCACCTTGGTTAAATAACGAAATATTGATCAATTTAAAAGATCCTGTACTACTCCTCTTAACAAGGTTGATCTTATTAAGATGGGCTCTAAATCTTAACATAGTATCATACCTCAGTAAACTCCAACGGCTATTCGATCCGCTTAAGTCTCAAAAATGAGCACACGAATTTCAAGATTTGTCTGCTCAAAAAGAGCCACCATCTTGCAGGGGCATGTTAAGGGAATAAATTACATATCGGTTAAATACCGAAATACTTAAATAGATCTTGGGTCACTCCTCTTAACAAGGTTGACTTTATTAAGATGGACCCAAAATCTTAACACCGTCATCATCTCGCTCGCTTTCGATAAATTGCTCTCCGAATCTGACCACACTCCCGCAGTCCTCCACGGAAATTCGTCCTCCGCCTCAAACGCCACTGTCGCCCATACTTACAAAATCACTTTCATCCTTCCTCCTCGTCACATTCACTCATCTTCCCCTTACACTTCTATCCATCCCCCAGCACCGCCACCATCTCTACCCCACCTTAACCGCTATCACTACGGCTATTAAAGGCTTCAGCTGTTGGTCTGATTGCCACCGCAACACAATCACCACTGCACCACTCCTCTACGACTAAATTGAGAGAGAGAATGGCGAGGGTGGTTTGTGGTGTGGGTGTGGTTAATATATGTTAAATAAATAATTTTCACCTGATTTATGAATTAACTTAGCGTCTGATTAATGATATGTTAACTTAAAAAATAGGTCAGTGTGTAATTTTCTAAAAACCTACAATTAAATACTAATTAACATAAATAAGGGAGAATTAGTTTAAAATTCAAATATCAGATGGTAATAACATTTTAATGAATTTAATTAAGCACAATATCTATATTCACCCACCCCAAAATTTATCCCCTGCGCATTTTCGATTTCTCCATCTCGATCTCTTTATCCACCACACCATACCCATCTATCGCTGCCCCTGTCCCCAAAATCAAGTTGTCGCCACCACCACCACGACGTAAGCAGAGCCCTTTCTTTTCTAGCGCCTCTACGATCAACGAAACCCCTACCCACCCGTAGAGAAGAATCGCCATAGGCAGCGACAATCCGATGCGTGCGGCGGTGCAACAGCAAGGCATCGCTGCTGCGGTGACGAGCAGCGATGATGTGGCTAAGTACTCCTCTGCTCCTATAGTGTAGTCAAATGACCTACGGGCGATGTTGAGACCTACTTTATTGAGTGTGTTTTCGCACTAGAAGAGTGCCTGTGGGTGGCTTATGATTCAAGTGAGTTGTTCGATTTGGAACCTAGGGATTGCGATTAGGCAGTGGTGGAGAGAGAGTTGAACCTTGCCGACTGTGTGGAGATGGTGGAGGAAGAGGAGGTTGTAATTCCGGTTAATAGAGCCGCCTAGGGAATTCTTCCTCGGAAGCGCAGCTCTATCATTGATCCAACGGTGATATAAAAATTTGCAATGTTGTTTTCCTTCCTCAATCTATTGATGTAAGACAGTTTTAATTTGAGGGAAAATTATCAGCTGCTCTTTTTTCAGTTTGAAATGATCTTTGATGGACAGAGTGACCCTGAGATATATAATGAGTGTCTTGGACGAAGTTTTAGGACATTTGAAGTGGTATTTCCGCGGTAGTTGTTTGTGTATTATTCTTGAGATAGATGACGAATATGTTCGAATTTATTTGTGGTGACACTCTGTGAACAAATATGTAATTATTGTGACCGGACACACCATCATAGTTAAAATTGACTTGATTACGGGTAATTATACTGGAGACGAATTTGTTACAATTAGTCACACTGAAAACAAATTGAGTCATAGCTAATCACGGATAACATGTGTTATTGACTTGGTTACATAAAATCACAAATTTGGCAATCACAGATGGTCATACTAAGGATAAATGTAATCATAGTTAATCACTATAAAAATAAATTTGTTCACAGTTAGTCACACATAACACGTGTTAATGACTTAATTACATACAACACAAATTAAATGGTCACAAACATTCATACTTAAAATAAATTTGACCATAGTTAATCATATATAACACAGTTAGCAATAAATTTGGAGAGCTTCCATGCGGGTGGGGTGTAATCTGAAAAAATAAGAAACATTTTAAAATTTTTGAATTTTTTTAAAGGTCAGGATAGGGGAAGAGTGGGTGTCATCTCGATTTATTTTATTTATTTTTAAAGTTTTCCATTTTTGAAACAAATTTATTAGGCCTTGTTTGATCACATTATTTAAAAAAAAAAATACATTCTTCAACAGTGATTTGACATCATTTCAACCACATATTCTTCAATAAAATAATATTACACGTAAATCTAAAATTTTTCCTTATTTTTTAACCACATATTTCTCATTGATTTGACATGAATAATGCATTTTTTTTTTTTCTAAAATGTGACTCAAACATGTGCTTAGTTTTGAAATGTAATTTTTATATATAAAAGTTTTGTATTTGAGGTCCAACTTTAACGTTCGACTCCGATTCAAAAATTCTCATGTCAAACCTAGTTGGCTAGTTCCAAATTTTATGGGATGTTTGATTTAGATTACACAAATTAACACCCCGGCGACCACCAAAACAGAAAAACGTATAGTTCAAATATTTGCTGACATAAAATACGACCTTCCAGGTTTGACTTCATTGGGCTCTGCCCCAACCAATAACATGTTAATCAATTGGAAAAAAACATTGGTTATCAGATCACTTGCAATCTCTACTTTCTCTTTAGATTGCATAGGTTTAAAGGAACTTGGTCAAGGTAACCATGGATCTACAAACACCCTTAAAAATCATTTACCCAAAAAAAAAAAAAAAAAAAAAAAAAGGGAAGTATATTAAATGACACGAGACAAATATTATTTGTTTCACTTTTATTAATTCTCACCCTGGCACCACCCGTAGAGACCAAATTTGTACATTTGCCCCTTTGATGATCTCAACAGATTCTCCAATACTCTTTTCTTTTTTTCATTCTTTTCTATTGTAAAACTAAAGAGACTTTCTTACAAATGAATGGCAAAGTACCCTTTTTCAACTCTTATCCTATTATTAAGAAGATGCCTTCCAAACTTTTTAAGACTTCATGCACAAATTACTATTACCAGCTTTCCTAGTACTCCAATGGCATCGCCAACTGCACTTTATGTAGCTGTCGACGTATGGTATTCATTATGTTCTGTTCTGAACTGATTGTGCTGAGTCCAGACTTCGAATCAACCAACAGTTTTCAATCCAACAACTTGCGTATCACTCTGCATCTATCTACAAGTTACACCACCACTGGGGATTTACACGAGTTCATTTCCTGCATGTTTAGACGCTGCAGACGCCTGAGGCGGGCGATAATCTGGCCAAAAGAAGGGCGTGCTTGTGGATTTCTGCAGCAGAAGAATGTCACAAATTAGATTTCCCAAGGGGTCAAATAGTTCATATCTGTTAGCTACACCATACGTGGTAATTCCGGTTAATAGAGCCGCCTAGGGAATTCTTCCTCGGAAGCGCAGCTCTATCATTGATCCAACGGTGATATAAAAATTTGCAATGTTGTTTTCCTTCCTCAATCTATTGATGTAAGACAGTTTTAATTTGAGGGAAAATTATCAGCTGCTCTTTTTTCAGTTTGAAATGATCTTTGATGGACAGAGTGACCCTGAGATATATAATGAGTGTCTTGGAGGAAGTTTTAGGACATTTGAAGTGGTATTTCCGCGGTAGTTGTTTGTGTATTATTCTTGAGATAGATGACGAATATGTTCGAATTTATTTGTGGTGACACTCTGTGAACAAATATGTAATTATTGTGACCGGACACACCATCATAGTTAAAATTGACTTGATTACGGGTAATTATACTGGAGACGAATTTGTTACAATTAGTCACACTGAAAACAAATTGAGTCATAGCTAATCACGGATAACATGTGTTATTGACTTGGTTACATAAAATCACAAATTTGGCAATCACAGATGGTCATACTAAGGATAAATGTAATCATAGTTAATCACTATAAAAATAAATTTGTTCACAGTTAGTCACACATAACACGTGTTAATGACTTAATTACATACAACACAAATTAAATGGTCACAAACATTCATACTTAAAATAAATTTGACCATAGTTAATCATATATAACACAGTTAGCAATAAATTTGGAGAGCTTCCATGCGGGTGGGGTGTAATCTGAAAAAATAAGAAACATTTTAAAATTTTTGAATTTTTTTAAAGGTCAGGATAGGGGAAGAGTGGGTGTCATCTCGATTTATTTTATTTATTTTTAAAGTTTTCCATTTTTGAAACAAATTTATTAGGCCTTGTTTGATCACATTATTTAAAAAAAAAAATACATTCTTCAACAGTGATTTGACATCATTTCAACCACATATTCTTCAATAAAATAATATTACACGTAAATCTAAAATTTTTCCTTATTTTTTAACCACATATTTCTCATTGATTTGACATGAATAATGCATTTTTTTTTTTTCTAAAATGTGACTCAAACATGTGCTTAGTTTTGAAATGTAATTTTTATATATAAAAGTTTTGTATTTGAGGTCCAACTTTAACGTTCGACTCCGATTCAAAAATTCTCATGTCAAACCTAGTTGGCTAGTTCCAAATTTTATGGGATGTTTGATTTAGATTACACAAATTAACACCCCGGCGACCACCAAAACAGAAAAACGTATAGTTCAAATATTTGCTGACATAAAATACGACCTTCCAGGTTTGTTTCTCGACATTCACCATTTTTCCTTTGGCGCCCGAGAAAATGAAACAAAAAAAAAAAAAAAAAAAAAAAAAAAGGGAAGTATATTAAATGACACGAGACAAATATTATTTGTTTCACTTTTATTAATTCTCACCCTGGCACCACCCGTAGAGACCAAATTTGTACATTTGCCCCTTTGATGATCTCAACAGATTCTCCAATACTCTTTTCTTTTTTTCATTCTTTTCTATTGTAAAACTAAAGAGACTTTCTTACAAATGAATGGCAAAGTACCCTTTTTCAACTCTTATCCTATTATTAAGAAGATGCCTTCCAAACTTTTTAAGACTTCATGCACAAATTACTATTACCAGCTTTCCTAGTACTCCAATGGCATCGCCAACTGCACTTTATGTAGCTGTCGACGTATGGTATTCATTATGTTCTGTTCTGAACTGATTGTGCTGAGTCCAGACTTCGAATCAACCAACAGTTTTCAATCCAACAACTTGCGTATCACTCTGCATCTATCTACAAGTTACACCACCACTGGGGATTTACACGAGTTCATTTCCTGCATGTTTAGACGCTGCAGACGCCTGAGGCGGGCGATAATCTGGCCAAAAGAAGGGCGTGCTTGTGGATTTCTGCAGCAGAAGAATGTCACAAATTAGATTTCCCAAGGGGTCAAATAGTTCATATCTGTTAGCTACACCATACGTGGTTTAGACAGTACAATATAATACTAGTAGCATACTGCAGTTCAAGCACGAACAGGAACACAATGCATTCAATCAAGTATCAGACACTGAGATGTGGAAACTAACCGATTCCAACAGTCACTTATTATCTCCGCAACCAATGGATCCACCGTTAGTGGAATATCAAGGCATCTACCCTGGAATCCAACGGCTCCAACAACCTGCATCGAATTCATTCCCGTCCATGGAACTTGTAAAGTTGCCAACTCCCATAATATTACTCCAAAGCTATATACATCAGATCTGCACATAGAAGTCAATTATCAAAAAGATTCTGAATAGAACTATCCAGAAAAATCATGTTCTACCAAATATGAAGTACACATCATGTTCAACTCACTTCTCATTGGCGGGTTCATTCCTTAGAACCTCTGGTGCCATCCACTCTGCCTGCATATGGAATAACAAAAAAGCCAGTAAATCATTCCTGTTGTTGTAAATTTTTGTCCTTCCATTTTATTTTATATTTCCATTTTTCAAAAAGGGAAGAGAGGGGTGGGCACACTGAATAATTAATTGATAACCCAAGTCTAACATGCATTACCGTTCCAGCAGCTGACTTTGAAGATAGAAAAGTATGGTGCTGCAATCGTGACATCCCAAAATCACAAACCTAGCAAGCAGCGCATGAGAGATTAAAATCAGTGGGGCGAAAAAGTAGGTCCAGTATCACACTGAAAATGTAATCATTAGACCATACCTTGACAACCCAGTTCTTATCAACAAGGAGGTTTGGTGTCTTCAAATCACGATGCACAATGATAGGTTGGCTCGTGTGCAAGTAATTCATTCCCTTGGCCTGCAAGAAAATGATATATAAACAGATGGGAGTGGAATCTGATAACTGAAGTAAAAGAGAACAAGATTATCCAAATAATACCACATCAAGAGCCATTCTTATTCGCCTCTTTTCATCGATTTGGATATTTGGACGGTGCAGCAGCTTATACAAACTACCCCTGCATATAGAAGAAAACGTCGTGAACAACTATAGAACAATAGGGACAAACGAAAACATAACATCAACTTGTGTTATATTTATATTGCAAAAGAAGCCCAACAGATCATGCAGATGTTATGATTTTATAGGATATCTCTAACTCGTGTCCTTTCATTCATAAAAAGGCAGTAGAATCAACAAAGACACGATTCTTTGTAATAGCTTGCCTATATGAAAAGGGGCATCAACAATCTCATCTCACCCCACCCAACAGGGAAAATGAGGAAAGGAAAAAAAGGGAACTCATAAAGAAGATAACACACAAAGGTAATCCACAGACAAAGTCCGCAAACCCAGTTGACCATCCTAGTGCGTATGCATGCAAGCTGGGGTTACTTGTCTGAGACATGGACAGAAGCAATCATTCTACGGGATTAAGAATATGCTAAGACAGCCAAAACCATCCTAGCCTGTAACATGAGCATTGAGGTAAAACCTTGGTAGAAACTCTGTCAATATGGACAGATTCGGGGGAATTGTTACAGCTCCCATGAAAAGAACAACATTTGGATGCCTCAGCCTCAACATGATATCGACCTGCATAAATAGAAATGACAGTGAACAAAGTTTGAGCATTTACCATATTGTTCCTAAGGTATTTAGTCCACAAGACAAAATGAGCTAAATTAGCACTTACCTCGCATTTAAATTGTGCGAGTGCATTGCCTGAGATGTCTTGTTTCATTAATTTTTTAACAGCAACTTCCTGTCATGAAATAACATTAATGTAACAAAGTAATTCAAAATCAGCTGCGATATGTCTAATATCAGCACAAGGTAAATGATTTTCTATGCATGTGAAGATATGCAAACACCAAAAAATGTCAGCCAGGTTTAAGAGAGAGCTACACCAAAATGAGCAATGCCTGATGTGGTAGCAAAATGTTTCAAGGACGACGCTATAGAAGAGGTGGCTCATATGACTAGAATGCATTCGAGCCCAGTTTGCTTAAACTGAGTTAGAGATTGCTATTGTTGTACAAGGACAAACGAAGCTCGACACACCTCCTCCAAAGATAGACTTGGCTAAGAACTCAAGCACATAACCTGACCACGATAATTTGAAACTACAATAGTTTGTGTAGATCTTAGGTGGTCCAAATATTGCATTGACTTCACTTTACATTCAGTAAGCAGGACAAAAAAACTACATACGAGGCTTGAAATGCAATGAAAAGATGCTTGAATAATATCATGCCTGTGAAGTTCTTACTTCAAAGAAATTATCAACAGATCTGATCAATGCATAAATATAAAGCTTACCGTGCCATTCCATTCTGCTTGGTAGACTTCACCATATGACCCTGCAAGATATGGAAGGAAATAGAATATGTTCAGAATAGAAACACTAGCAAACTCCAGTATAGACCTTGGTTTCTGACAGAAGTCGAAAAACATATTGCAATTAGAAAGTAATAAAAGTCTAGCAGGTAAAAAGGCAATTTTCACGACAAATTGACCATCCATCTAGCATGTATGTGGTTTGTTTAGCATCCACAAATACGATTACGGACTTGTTCAGAAGTAAAAGTAATATTCAAACATATTAAACCTACCATAGTAAATTCCAGTTTTTAACCAAATAAAAATGATCAGGCAACCCACACAAGCTGTGAACCATTGTTCAGTAAAAAGTTTCCACATTGAGGAAAACCTCGTGCATGTTTTTTTTCCTTTTGCCGTTAAATACCAGAAGTAGTACATCTTCAGAAACCCCTAAATAATAATAATAATAATAATAATAATAATAATAATAATAATAATAATAATAATAATAAATAAATAAATAAATAAATAAATAAATAAAATAGAAAAGAATCATTAAGCAGCAAAAAAATGCACCTACAGAGGATATCAAACAGAAGAAAATGAGAAGACTACAGTAGGTTTGCCGTCCAATGCAAGTGCAGATCCTTTGCAATAACATTGTAACAATTAAAGGCAAAATCAATAGAGAAAGAAATTGTTTCCATAATGAAGCAGGCCCCATGCTCGAACTAATCTCTAAGATGTACTTTTATTGGAAAGACATCTAATTTCTTAACCTCTTCTACAATTTGTTGGGGGCAGCTGTCAGAAAAGATATCTCAGACAGTTAACTTTGACTACAGAAAGACCATTCATGAGCAATTCTATGAACTAAGAGCAGTGGTTGATGACTCGAACAAATTCAAGGATCCAGTGAACATTAAGTCAACAAATTCAAGGATCCAGTGAACATTTAAACCACAGAAACATGATAAGCCACCTGTACGTTTTACGTATGAGAGGCGTCACAAGAGAGGAGCTGACTAGGAATTGTTATTTTTAATTAACTGGATCTGTTGGGTTGTTGGGGAGGAAGTCAGTTATGCAGGTTTCATGTTGGTTAGGAAAGAATAAAGAGGCGGAAACAGAAAATGGAAGGCATTCACGGGGTTGGCAAAAAATCTGTGAATAATTGGGAAGAGGGGCAGCTCTCTAAACATGCCATTATCACTATCAATTTCTGTAATTGCTCAGTTGAAGAAATACATATCCATTTCTCTTAATACTCGACGTTTCCTTTGTAATTCTGCGCTCCATGTCTACTTTTTTGTGTACCCAGGGATACATTCATATTTCATTTGAGAAGGTACTATCAAAACATTATTCAAATTATCAATATCTTAATTTTTATGTTTGAAGCTGGACCACTTAAACCCTGTTATCAACATCCATTCTATAAATTTAAGAAAAGAAAAATACACACCCACACACATACCTTACTCTAATGTCACAACAAATCTCAACCTTCAATGAGAGAATAAATGTAATGAATTGAGACTTTACCTATACCAATACGTTCACCAATCTGAAGATCCTCCCACAAAATTCCGGAAACCCCATTCAACACAGGGTCAATAGGCAAATTGTGCACCTTGCTAGCATTAGACTGGTCACTGCAAGCTACTTCCATCACTTCCAATGTAGATTCATCTTTATCTCCAGATAACTGATCAAGGCCACCACCAACTGCAATGCCATTACTTTGGATCACCTCATCAGTTTGGCCTTTCGCAAGATGTTCTGCAACTAATGTATTAGAAGATGAATGACATCCAGGATTAGAAACAGCATGGTTTCCTTCTAGCTGTTGTGCTGCCGATCCTTCAGGAAAATCATTTATGCTCTCTTTGCATGAAACATCACCAAATAACTTCACTCCTTCATTTGACGCTGTACACAAACTTTTGGCAATTCCCAGCACAGAGGCGATACTACTTGTATCTAACCCAAAATTTCGATGATGACCACTGGGTACCTCAGTAGGAATTAGGGTGCCTGGAGCCCCCATTAGATCAATAATGTGCTCGCTGCATCAATAAAAAACAGCATAAACTGAATGCATCAATAAAAAACAGCATAAACTCACTGCAACAATCAAAAAATCAGCACAAACTCACTGCATCAATTTAAAAAATAAGCAATAACAATTGCGTCTTTATTTGAATTCTTACGGACCTCGATGATTTTTTCTGTAGAATAATTGTTGAATGCAAAAATAATTACAAGAATCGAAATGATATAGGAAGAAAATTATTTCATATGGAAACAGCAGTTTGATTAAATAGTAGATTTTTAGTCTCGTGGAGGGTACAAAAAATGTGCAATCTAGAATGAACAGGAAATGTTAGACGAGTTTAGATTCTTCTTCAAAGTATACTGTAGGAAAGTGAATTACACAGTAGGAAAGTGAATTACACCAGCTAACAAAAGCTGCAACATGAAAATAAACGAAAAATTTGAAATGGGGATGATAAACCATGAAGTGCCCTGCAAGCTTAAAATGTGATGTCGCTCAATGACATCTCAAAAACATTAACAGAGATGAAACTCATCATACTCATATGATAAGAAGAAGATCAATTACATGACAAGAAGTTACCAAAACCAGCATACAAGCAAGAACAAACATTCAAGGAAGTTGCTACCTTCCATTATCCAATTTTATCAGGTTCACAGCTCCATCATCAGTGCCGGTATAATAACTCCCTTTGACGAGCTTACATGGGAGGTTGATTCTATCAGCAAGTACCTAGATGTACAGAACTTAATTTTTAAACAAAATGCTACACAAATCAAACAGGAAAAAAGTTATAATTGAAGTCTTGTGTGTTAAGCATAGTTATTAGACCCGACCCGAACATCGGCCCAGTCAAGGTACTAGGTCATCGGGTTACTGATCAGACAGGTGAACCGGTGGGTCATTACTTAAAAATAATTTAATTGTTTTCAAAGTATAATTATATATATATATATATATATATATATATATATATA